TGTTATAAAGGTTGTTAAGTTTAAAGTGACTGTGGGACGGGGATTCGAACTCGCGACCCACTGATTGCGAGTCGAGTGCCCTAACCACCTGGGCATGTCGGGCCTTTACATTTAATTAGTTCATTGTTAATTATCTATTGGTTTAATGTAGGTGGCTATTGTTCGGGACGAACAATACTAAGGAAGGGGCAGTGTTATGACAGCGGAAGTCACGTGACGCTGCTGGCATGTGCGAGGAGTTTTTCGAATGATCGTGAACTTCCTAGTTTGTTAGGGACGTCCTGTTTTTTTTAGTATACAAGCCCGGCAAAAAAAGGGCAAAGGGAGAACAACGATCACGTCGATTCCAGCTATCGACCCTGATACATGCCAGTATGCAGCCTGTCTCCTACCCTACGCCGCTGTTAATTATCGACGGACTACCGCTTGACTTCTCGCCGCGGGACACAGCCAACTTCATCTGCCGCTACAAGCCTCAAGCGTCTGCGCAAGGGAGGTATACTCCTCCAGCCCAAGACACCGAGACTTCAGCTACCACCGTATCCCAAAGAAAACAGGTTCACCCTCCATATTCATGAAAGTTGTCACAACTTCCAAGATAACTGCAGACTCCATCATCACCCACGGCTGCTATCTTGATTACCATCACTTCAAAGCAGAAAAACCATACCGTAAGCCTCACCCATCCCCTACCTTTCCCCACCGACCCCAAAGCCCACGTTCTACAACAACCAAAACAAAACCACCGCCAACCAGTACTCTACCGCCCATCCTATTACAATTGACCAGGCTACTCAAACTTCACCCACTCCTGAATCACAAGACATGTCAACTCAAACCACCACTACAAGGAGAAAAAAAAGGCACCCAGACCCAGCCGCAAGTCTTTCCAGTAACCAACGACGCTTATCAGCAAACCAGCAACCCGCCTCTCAGCCCCGTGCCACTTTGTGCATCATCGTCGTCAACCTCACCAAACGCTCTAATAATTGACACCTCCCCCGACCTCTACCTACCCGACGAACCTTTCTGTGCCCTCCGCCCACTCACCAGTAACACCGAGGACTTCGCCTTTAAAGCCATCCCGTAACCTGAACCTGTACTCCAATAAAATCATGGCGAACATCAGGATAATCCACAACTCATTCAAGAAGTTAATCAACCCCCAGCACAGGACTTCACTTTGCCTTCCCTACTTATTTCTTCTCTCTAACCGGGCACTGGTAACGGATTGGTCGTTACCAGTGAAAGTGGGTTTTCTCGGGGTACTCCCGTTTCCCCCACATTAAATTCTTTGCATAGGATTTATAGATCCCCGCCGCCCTGATGGACCATCTGTCCTATATTAGCCGTTTAGTTTACTCTGCTCTTCACTCTTTACTTTCTACTTTTATGTTTACCTTTTTAAGTTTACATAGCTTGTCTGCATTAATTTCCTGTTTCTCAATTTAAGCCCATATTCCCAGGCGACGCGCGGGGTGAAGGAGAATTGCTTAATCTTCAAACACCCCTGATTAGTAATTATTTCTTGTGAAATAATTATTTTTAAATCAGTATAATTGCCAGAAACGAACGAACGGCAGAGGGAGATAGATGGAAAAGATAGATAATTGAGTCAAGGGAACAGTAGGCACAGTAAGTGTGTGATTTGCTGTGATTTATAGCGTGTGTTATAAAGGTTGTTAAGTTCAAAATGACTGTAAAAATTCTGTGTATTACAAAGTTGTATCGAGAAAGAATAAACTAGTTTTAATTAAGAAAGGACTTGTATCGTTGAAGTTTAGTAAAGCAAGTTTACAGCTCTTTGTTTATAGGTTAATCAGTACAATATTTGGTACAATGGTAGAATATTTTACTACACGAGAACAACCGATTGATAAAAAAAAAGAAAGAAAATAAAACATTTTTATACCAAATTTCCCATATTATTTTTGTCAACAAAGCTAAAGTTTTCTTCCGTGTCAACCAAAATTAAATTCTGCTAACAGTAGTGCTTTTCCAACTTAAAAAAATCATTGACTTAAGTAAACTTTTGGAATCTGATGAATTTGGTGACTTATTTATCTTAAGAGATTAAACGTTGAGAATTGTAAATCTGAGCTTATATAAAAACAACAACAACAACAATACTATCTAAGTTAACAATGGAAACGAGTATAAATAACATACCTTCCACAGCAAGATGTTTTTGTAATGTGGGACAATCGATTCTATACACTACAACAATATAACAAGTTATTTTAAGAAATTGGTCGTCCTTCTAATCACGTATTATTTCTCTTAGATCTTCCACTCGAATATTTAATCTGAACCTTTCTTAAGTACTAGGCTCTAATATACTTTTCCCAGAATACTGCAGCAACTCTAGTAATTTCGAATTCGGGAGAATCAATATGATTCTATGAATATGTTTAAGATTGCAATTTAGTTGAGTCACGTGGTATTCTGTCATTGGTTTACACGGTGAAGGTCATACTATCCAGACTTTTCCAAGGAATGTTTCCTGGGGATAGGTTATTAACATGAAACTTGTGAAATCTTGCTACTTCAAGGCTCTTTATATGGTTTCACAAGAACAAGTTTGTCGGGTGTACCGTGTTCTATGCACATGTCGTTTCTTTGTAGTTTTCTTTTTTTTATAAACAGTCTTTTTTTCCCCCTCTCAAATTATAGAAATTACAACCCAGAAATATTGTGCATTAGTATACACTAATTGAATCTAGGTAATAAAGACAATGGAAAAAAAATTAACAGAAAAAAAGACAAAGAAAATTACACAAACAAGTAAAAATGTCAAACTATGGGATAATAGAAAAGAAAAATGCTTATTCCAGAATTTGTCATTTTATACCATTCCTAAGATATTGGACTTATTTTGTTTTAGTTGCTTGTGTAATTTTATTTGTCTTATATGGCTTGCGCATGATAATATAAAAGTAAAATTCTTATTTCTGAATTTGTCGTTTTATACCACTACTTAAATATAGGACTTATTATTAGTTTTTACTTTTTTAACTCTTTATGGAATTTTCTTTGTCTTTTTACCCTTGTCTTTATTACCGCCACTGACACTAATCAATATCTATAACCTCTAATGAAATAACGGGAAAATATGCACTAGTATTTGTATTTCGAAGTGTTTTTTTTTAATGTTTGAAAAGCTCTTGCTCGGTATTATTAAATACAATGTCGAAATTTCAATGTAAAAAATGTAAGACTTGTGCACTAATACAGGCTAGAAACCGGGTTTCGATACCCATGGTGGGCAGAGCACAGATAGCCCATTGTGTAACTTTGTGCTTAATTCCAAACACTAATACATTTTGCTTCTTTGATAATATTCAAGTCTTAATGGCAAATATATTTTAAAATATCCTAACATCCCGTCAGTGCTGCGTAATTAATTCCTCTTAAACAACATACCTTTACTCAACAATTTTAAGATATAAAGCATTACAAACCTACTTTTAAGATATTTTTCTTTTATACAAATCTAAATAATTCATAGGAACTAATTTTGCTAATATTTTATTGATACTTGTAGCAACTATTTCTAAAATCCTACTCTGTGAATAGCCTAGTGCAATAAATATGTTTTTGATTTTAAAATTGGTTTTATTAAGTATCTGCTTGTTTGTTAATTTCCGGTAGAAATTCTTTCCGGAGAACTTCAGCGATACAAGTCCTGTCTTGATTGAAACTAGTTTATTCTTTCTTGATACAACTTTTAGTAATACACAGAATTTCCACAGTCACTTTAACTTAACTACTTTTATAAACACACGACATAATTCAGAGCGATTTACACACTTTATTTACGGTGCCTACTGTTCGCTTGGCTCAATTATCTATATCTCCGATCTATCTATCTCTGACTTTTTTGCTGGTTTTTCTTGCCAGGCTTATATACTAAAAAAGAGGGTGCCTGGAACAAACTAGAGTTGCCAGGAAAATTCATGATCCTTCGAGAAACTCCAGCGCGCGTGCTCCCAGCGTTGCGTGTCTTCCGCTGTCGTAACAGTTTGGACAATATTTTACAATATAGAGTATTTCTATTCGTGCTGGGTTCTAACAGATAGTTAAATATCTCATTATAAACAGAGGTTATTATATTACAACAGACACTGAATGACTAACAATCAACAATAAATATTCTGTACATTTGAAAAAGTTATACATAGTTTACTAAAAATAACAATTATTGTTCTTAGTAAGGGTTCGATACTCAGTTTTATTCATCTTAATACCACTTCATTCCCTCTCATATGTAATGATGGCAACTTTTGTACTTTTACACCTTTTAATAGTATCTATTCATTAAATGAAATGTTGTTAGGTCTCTTCTAGAAGTTCTAAGTGCAAAATCGTGTACAGGTATTCCAGGTCTCCATTCAAAAGCGTTAATAGGTGTTTCTACTCCGTAAGAACGTAAGTAGCGATTTTAAGTTTATTCGTAGTTAATCACAAAGCTACACAATGGGCTAGCTGTGCTGTGCCCACCACAGATATTTTAAAAATACGAGAGTATTAAAAATTATGAATTTTAAAATGAAATATGGATCCTGCTGTTAAAAGTACTGAAATTAATACCAGAATCACAAATTTATAAAATAATCCTTATTTTCGGCTACAGATAAGTGTATAAAGCTGCCAAAGTAGTGATAAATTTCATAAATTTGTAATTATGGTGTTTATTCTTGCTTCATTACTTTTATAGTAAGATCGCTACTTCATTTTAAAATTCCTAATTTTTAATTCTCTTTGTTTACATTTTATGTTGCACCTGTATAAAGTATATTACTTTACCTTTAGAAACTGTTGCGTGTCTCTCCATCGTTGCCCCCCAGCGGTATGTCTGCGGACTTACAACGCTAGAAACCGGGTTTCGATATCCGTGGTGGGCAGAGCACAGATAGCCCTTGTGTAGCTTTGTGTATAATTAAAAAACAAACAAACAAACTCTCCATCGATATGTAGCGCCATCCGTTGGGTTGAAAAGATATTTAAGTACGTGCATGATATGTTTACTATTTATATTATACCTATATATAAAATATATAATATTTTTTTTTTATCGGAATATCAAAAGTGGGTACCAACAGACTAGTCAAGTAATATATCGTAACCAATACTTTGAATGGTCGGTTTTTCGTTTAGGAATTCGATAGGGTAGTTTTCGGCGCATGAATTATTTGGAATACTTGTCGATCCCTACTATTAAGTACTACCGTACTTAAACTACAACTTTTCAAAATTAAGTAATCTACAGATTGATATGGTTTATGCTGAAAAAGTATTTCAACATCTGACTGAAACATTTTCCCCAATATTATTCTTAACATAACCTGGATAATTATGAAGGATTTAATTTACATAAAAAAATCATATTATTACAGTTTGAGTTAAAATAACTCGTTTAGCGATTTACATGTAATTACTTACAACGAGAACTAGGAAATTATTTCTGTATCAATTCTTACGGTATTTCAGTTTGTTTGTAAAATCATTTTGTGATATGCGGACATATGATGTGTTGTCTACTTTCTATAATACTGTAGAAACTTTCAAACATTTTATTTTACTTCGTTTCTGCATTGTCACAGTGACAACAGTGGTTCAGAAAATTCTTAATATTACATTCATTCATTTACTTTGTTCCTTTCCGTAAGTGATATCTCCTCTGCCCTCTGCATCTCCTCTGTTCATCATCAGATGAAGCACATATTTTGAGTGGGTGAGCATTGCAATATACTTTGCTGGCCTATTATGTCATTGACTAAAAGTAACAGCTGATTAGTGCTGTCAGGGAACAGAGGTCCACTGCACAAAGTAAGCGAATTTACATTCTAGATTCGAGAACATTTTTTAGTTGAGTTCTCCATAAGCTGATCTATTGAGAGGATCTACCTTATTGAAGATCATTATGTTGATTTTGCTGTGATCGATCCTAAGAGAGAAAAGACGACAAAACTAAACATTATCTAGAGGGGGAAAAGATTGTTTGCTTTTCAAATTAGGTACATGGGCTATTTTTATAATTTATTATCAGATTAAATATATTGCTAACTTGTTTGTAACGTGTCCAGGCTCATTATTTTCACATTAAAGGAAAAACTCAGTCGAATTATCTCTATCATAAAACTTTCGTAATGTCCTAAGCAAACTGTTGTTTGTGCAGATTCGTTAGAGATGCTGCCAAGCCGAGGGATCACAAATATCGTTTTAGTGTTAGGTCCTACAGTTCAAACTGTTCTTATCTACTAAAATATTAGTGTTTTCATCTATTATAACTGTTCACTTTTTAGGAGTTTTATTATTATTATTCTTAGTCATTTTGGATAACTTCTGCACAAACTCTTCCTAGGGAACGTCTTGATCACAGGTTGCACTGTCTCCTATTTTCAAGTTTGAAAACTTTCACAACCATTAGCGTTTTGTAGTTTTAACAATATGGGTATTTAGAAATGGCTATATTTCATAAGCAGTGTTGTTTTAACAAACTCACACATCTTTTATAACCCAGTGTGCAATTTTTAAACGCAATGAAATTGTTTTAAGAGTTTCATTAAATTAGATTTTTTAAGAAATAGTAATTATATTGCCTACTTAAAAAATAATATGCAAGGTGGAATTCCCTTGTGCTAAACACAGCTATCCCATAATTTCAACAAGAAGTGTACTCACCAGTTTTTGCTGATACGGGAAGTGATAACACGGCCACGTGGTCCATTCGTTCCGAGAGGAGTACTTGACATTGAAAAGTTGGGAGATGGAGAAAAGTGTGAAACCATGTTCTCAAAAGAAATTAATACCAGTCCTACCCCGAGTTGAAATGCAACAGAACCTCCAACAACAACAACAAAAAAATGGTAAGTGTAATTTCAAATTTCAATGCCTATAATTATTGCAGTATAAGTGGTTAGAACAGTCGGAAGAAGAGGGAATGCTTTGTACTTTATCCTGAAAATGAGCAAAGGACAATCCCTCTACACAAGAAACTGGTTGTATAAATTTTCGCACATCACCTCTTACCTTCAAGCCAAATCAACTGACCATTGTTCCATGTTCTAAGACAGTATCATGCAATCTGATATTTCTGTTGTTGCTTCCAATGTTATAAAAAATCGGAAGCTATCATAGATGCAATATGAACAGCATGTTATGCTGCTCGTGGAAATTTATCAATCGTTGCTGAAACTACGAAAAACAAATGGTCGTGAAAGTCATGCAAATTTAAAAACAGGAGACAATACAATCTATGAATCAAGAAGTACAGGGAAAGATTATGTTCAGCCAAGACAATTTTAATAAGCTTATAGCAAGAACACTTAAACTAAAAGAAATTCAAGAAATACTGGTTTGGTTTTCATTTTATGCATACCTACACGAGGATTA